CCCTGACCCCCTCGAACCCTGCTCTCCTCCCTCTTCTTCCCTCCCTCCCTCCGCCCTGGTGATGCATCACTCGTCTCCATGGCGCTGAGCTTGGAAATGTGGAGAATTGGAATGGCAGCAGAGGAGAAAGGGGGGAGAGAAAGGGTCAGAAGCAGAGAGGGGGGTGAGGGGAGGAGAGGTGACCGGGAGGTATTTCTAAAAGAGAGACTCAACACAGACCAGTTGGCCTCGCTGGGCTTCTTTGTCAGCAATTCATCAGTCACTAACATCTCAGCAGCAGACCCCGAGCCTTCATTAAAAACTAATTACTTTAGCATTAGGCGATACATACGGCCACCCTCGGATGACTTCATATGAATAGGCTGTATTAATATTTAATATCTTGATCTGATTCAAAACACGCCGGGTAATCTCAGAAAACCGGCGAGGTGAAACTAAGGTCAACGCTGTTTTTCTGCGTCCTTCAAAGGCTGGGGATTAAAACTAAAATATGCAAATATATGCAAAATGAACATTAGGTAAACTCATGCATGTTAACCACATTGGACTGCATGCCAAAATAAATCTGATTTCAAATAATATCCCATGCAGTTATGAGGGTGCCTCACCTCCTCATCTGAAGCGCAAATGTGGCGCACTATTATGCGCTTATGCGGTGCAATTATTGTAAGCGCGCCACAGTTTATCCGCCGTTTAGTCCACTAGCACCCCCCCCCCCCCCCCTCGCGACACAGATTGGGGGGGGGGGGGGGTGCTAGTGGTCATTTTAAAAGTAGCTCCCAAGCTGTGTTGGGCACCCCTGCGTCAGTTTGTAAGACATTTCAGTCTTGGGTGTTACATATATTTAAGCTGTCAGTTATCAGGAAACACTTCTCATTTACCCTTAGTCACCCTCCGTATTGGCTCATTGTAACCATTTATTTTGTTAAAATATTTTGTATTCCAATACAATTTAGCCTTACCAGAGAGATGCATTTGAGAGTGGCAAATAGAGGGGCTGGATTTGAACCTCTTTGCACCGCCGTAAGAACTGATCCCCAGTACTATGCACAGTATGCAGCAGCCCACACAGCACTCATTCATATTTGAAATTGAATTTTAGAACATACAATACCTTCAATATGTTCTGTATGTATAAGTCATAATAAGTGTGTCACGTATAGCTACCCATGGATTGATGTTGACCAGAATCCACTGCTCCTCTAACTGACACATCTGACTGTGTGTGAGCTCGCTATTTCCACAGCGGCATATTATTCCACATTTTCAGAGATCAGAAATCCCCATAAGAAACTCTCATGAATACGTAATGACTAGCAGTGGGGATAGAAGCTGAAATCACATTAGCATACCACCCCTCTAGTGCTCTACGGAGCCGAGTATTACACGGCGCCATGACCAACCTCTGACCATTCACCGGACCAGCGCTCCACCAGCTGTTTCCAGTGCGGCCATTAACATCAAATCCCCATGGAGACTGTGGGGGCTCCGCAGGGCCTCGAGACACTGCTCTGTGTGGGGAAAGCTGCGCCCAGCCATATGTCCCATCAGCCACCACCAGCACCAGCAGCAGTCCGGCCCTCAGCGGCTAGCATGATGGGCTGACAGTGATAAAATGGCCGCATGGAGATTCTGAAGCGATGGAGGAGGGGTTGGACAGGGGTGGGTGATGGAGCAGTGTGAAAATAGAAAAAAAGAGAAGCATGATGAATAGGGAGAGGGATGAATATGAGCTGAGGCTGAGGTCTCCCCTAGTAGATCATCACTTCCTGTAGCCTATATATGTATTCAACCGTCTCCCATGCCATCTCTGTTTACCATGCCGTATAAAGTGTAGTACATTGTGTTCTATGGTGCATATTTGTAGGCTGCGGGAAGCAGAGTGGGAGAGTGAAGATGCAAGCTCACTTTAGCTGCATTAGATCATGTTTGAGTGGTTAACCAGCGCTGACAGGGCACTGTGGATGAAGTAATAGGAGTCACAGGACCGCACACTGGCAACAGAAAGCACAGTAGCACCATGGCAGAGCTGGGGAAACTCAGGATTATTTCTCCAGAGGCGGTCTTACATTCCTCTCTGTTTCTCTGACAACGCTGTGCCTGAAATGTAGAAATCTAAAGATATTTGAATTGCGTCTTTATAATGATTCTATCTGTAATGTTTGTGTAATGGCCGTAAATTCACAATCTCAATATCTTTTTTTCTTGATGTAGTTTGTGTTTCTGTAAATGTTCCGGTGTTTTTAGATATTTTATTATTTCACTTTAAGTGCATACTTTTATTTATAACTTAGATTATTGATGCAAAAGTGAAACACTTCGTGATTGGCAAATTGGTAGGTCAAACTTTCATACAACTGTTTCTTTGGAGACTGACATTGGTCACTTCATTATTGACTTAAGGGTTATTATGTGTATGATTTGTTTTAAAGCAATTTATCAATGAATCAATCGGTTAATACTCAAAAAATGAATCAGCAATTATTGGTTTTCTGAAATATCTCTATTATATTAAACTGAAGGTATTTGGGTTTGGGACTGTCAGTCCGACAAAACAAAACATTTCAAGATTAAATTAAAATAAAAAATACAATAATTGGATAAATAAATACAAATGATTGGAAGATTAGGAATAATGTTGGTAGAAGTCTCCTAGCCTTTGATGAGTGTGCTGCAGCACAGTGATGCTGTGCGTCTGCAGTAACATGTCAAGGTGGATCTTCTCACAGCAGAAGTGTTTATGCCTAATAGATAGCTCTGACTCGCAGCATGAATGAAAATGAAACGTGATGCCTCCATTTGTACAGAAATGACACGATTGAGCGGTTGATTGATCTCAGATATGACAGCCGACCCCGTGTAAGTCACCTAAGTTGTTCCTCTGGATTTGAAAATACATATGAATCAATAATGATTCCACGTTTGAATAGAAGTCCTTTTATTACCGTTACCATCCCATCGCTGATCCCTCACAAAGGAAGTGACTGATTACCTCAAAGCCCATATGTCTGTCTCGCGTGAAAAGTGATATGAACGAGGGGATGACAAAAGCTGCATGGATGTGGCTGCTTTGTGCTTTAACACCCATTATAACCCTTTTGACATAAAGACATCCAATGTGGGTGGCAGGCAAACAGGCTTCCAGGATCAAATATGCTGATGTGGACACATGGTGGAAACACATTAGAATATTCTGCTCACATTTCTTCAGGTAGCAAACAAGTGAGAAGATCAGCAAAAACCCTCCATCTCTGGCCCATGATGCATTGCTGCATTCTAAGCTCAAATGATGCTGTAGCCATTGTTCATTTCTAAAGCTGTGTTCTGTTTACCGTGTATTACATGTAGGATCATCGGGAATTTGATCAGTTTTGACCCAAAATCCAATTTTGAGATTTTTTGAAACGTGGTTCAGATGTGTTGAGTTTTCCTAAGCTTACATTCGAGTCAGAAGAGGATACGTACTCTAGTGATAGGTGTAAACACAGCCTTATGTGTCTTTGTATACACCCCAGCTGCTCCTTTGACTCCATCGCTAATAATAATAATCACTGCTTCAATCCGGTTTAAGATTTTCATCATCAAAAATACACAGAGAGCTCCATTGGGTTCTTCCTGTCCATATGTCCTTATCTCTGTTCAAAGAGGCCCTATTATGCTTTTGGGGTTTCCCTTTCCTGTAGTACGTTTTTTTTTTTTTTTAATGTGCGTGTCCAAAAGCTAAAATCCCCCCCGCCTGAAACACCTCCATTGGACTCCTTTGTTTACTTAGGCAACATAGTGACATCACACTGTAACACTCGCGCTTCTATTGGCTATCGCTCTAGCACATTGTATGTGATAGGCTAAGTAAAGGACATCTCTAAGCGGTTGACCAATCACAACAGAGCCGGCCAGCTAACCAATCAGAGCAGACTGTGCTCTGGTTTCAGACAGAGGGTGAAAAGAGGTGCTGCAGCACAGGCAGTGTGAGAACAATAGAGCTTTTTGAGCACTAAAGCACGGAGACGTGTCCCAGTAGAGACACTACGTACTGACAGGAACCTGAAGAGTAGCATTATATGGCTCCTTTAATGTACGCTGAACAACATGGTAGAAATAACTCGCAGTGATACTTAACATCCACCCCACTAACAAACACAGAGACAAATTGCCCCCTGCCTGTCTTCTCCTCTTCTCACCCTCTCTCCCCCCTCCCTGTCTGTCACAGACCTCTGTCTTTACATTTCGGGGGAGGAGGAGCATGTGTCTGACTAGCTTGGGTGTGGCTGCATGCCTTTCAGTAACACACAACAACACAGAGGTGTACGTCTGCGCACAGAACCATGCTCTCTCCAACACATTTATTCATATATACATGCCTACACACACACACACACACACACACACACACACACACACACACACACACACACACACACACACACACACACACACACACACACACACACACACACACACACACACACACACACTCTTCCTGAAACATTTGCATATTCACAACATGCCCCACGGATGCTTCCTGCTCTCCCAACGCCTCTTGGCTCAGTTTATGTGTGTGAGGCTATTATTGTGCTGCTGCGTGGGTGTGTTTGCATGTAAATAATATACTTCTGTTGGCTCATGTGTGTACGAGTGTTAGCGCAGTGTGTCAGTCAATCACAGCGTGGTCCTCCCTGCAACACAAAGGCCTTGTCAGCAGCAGTGTGTGTGTGTTTAAATGGTGGGGGTCGACCCGCTTGTTGAAGGTTGGAGGGAAGGAGGAGATGGAGGAAGGGGGGGGGGGACTGATATCATGGGGGGTGGAGGGGATTATTAGGAAAGAGGCCAGAGTTGTTTTGATGGACTCATCTCCAGAAAGTGTCAGAGACATGCTCCACTGATCTCTTTGTGCCTGCTTAGACCTCACTGTGAAGTTGGAGGAACTCTCTCTCTGGCTTGGTCTCATCTGGTGTGATTTATATTCACTCACATGTCCTCCCCTCTGTCTCCCCCTGCAGCCGTTCCATCCCATGGTGAACCTGCAGTGCTCTCCGGACCTCAGGATGTTCCTGTGTGCACTCTACGCCCCCGTGTGCACCGAGTACGGCCGCATGACTCTGCCTTGCCGCCGCCTCTGTCTGCAGGCCAGGAGCGACTGCTACAAGCTCATGGACATGTTCGGGGTCAGCTGGCCGCAGGAGATGGAGTGCACCAGGTGGGTACATCAGAAATAATCACTTCCCCCCGGATGTATCTCTGTCATTTAAACAGAGGAGTAATGCAGCCACCGAGCAAGATGTCATTCATTTGAACCTCAGAAATGTGGCATAGAGGAATAGCATGCTTTTAGAAAGACAACTGGCTGCTTAACAATTACATTTTTTTCAAACATCATTGCGGGCCAATGAGTTCTGCTGCCAGATCATTGATTCAGTCAAACAGGTGGTGAGACCTGAGAATACAAACAGCAAAACATCAAAAGTGATATAACTGAGCAATACAAATTGTTACAAGAATGAAAAATCATTATGACAATATACAATATCTCCACAAGGACAGATATGACAGTCGTTTTACAGTTGGAAGAATCCTTTTCACCTACTGTACTAAGGAGCCGTTATTCAGAAATAGTATACATGTTCTTAAGAAGAGCCTTATATTGTGGAGTATCTATTCTAATGCATATGCTTTATATATATATATACACACAGCATACAGTCCCTAATCCAGTGGGAATGAGGAAATGCAGTCAATCCAATTAGGAGGGAAAGGCAAATATACCCTGTTGTGTTTGAATGCCAGAGACAAGGTTAGGCTAAAAGATATGTCTTCAAAGGAAAGAGCGTGGTATAAAAAGCTTATTTGACTTTAGTAGAGCCTTGCATTAGAAGGGTGTATTTATGTTGTCTGAGTAGTACTTTCTTTATCTCTTTCCCTACTATATTCTTACTGAATACAACTTGAAGGTATTCAGCTGCTTCCTGGAGCTGGGATAATGTGATTGAGAGATACAAATAATCGAATACACACTTAAACGGATGATCTTTCCCGGAGACGTCTGAAGTCATAATGAGGCGCCTGTGCAAGTTGAACTTCTTCGTCTTTATTGAAACGCCCTGTAACCACCAGACCAATGTATTCATCAATCTTTAGAATCTTTCAAATGCTAAATGTATAATATATTGTTGGCAGTGTAATCTTCCCCCCCCCCTCTGACTCCTTCAGGTTCCCGGACTGTGACGAGTCGTACCCCCGTCCCGTGGACCTGCTGTCCAGCTCAGACTCCACCGACTCCCCCATCTCCGTCCAGAGGGACTACGGCTTCTGGTGTCCCAGAGAACTCAAAATCAACCCCGAGCTGGGCTACTCCTTCCTGGGGGTCCGAGACTGCTCCCCCCCCTGTTCCAACATGTACTTTACGCGCGAGGAGCTGGCGTTCGCCCGCTATTTCATCGGGGTGGTGTCCATCGTCTGTCTGTCCGCCACCCTCTTCACCTTCCTCACCTTCCTCATCGACGTGTCGCGCTTCCGTTACCCGGAGCGCCCCATCATCTTCTACGCGGTGTGCTACATGATGGTGTCCCTGGTGTTCTTCCTGGGCTTCCTGCTGGAGGACAACGTGTCCTGTAACGCAGCCAGTCCCGGCAGGTTCCGGGCTGCCACCGTGACCCAGGGCTCCCATAACAAGGTAAGAGCTCTCTGTGTGTTCTGATGCTGTTTCTCCACTGCCCGGTCCTTGGTACTGACCCTCCATGGTCTCTGCCCCAGGCCTGCACCCTCCTCTTCATGGTGCTGTACTTCTTCACCATGGCGGGCAGTGTGTGGTGGGTCATCCTGACCATCACCTGGTTCCTGGCTGCTGTTCCCAAGTGGGGCAGCGAGGCCATAGAGAAGAAGGCGCTCCTGTTCCACGCCTGTGCCTGGGGCATCCCGGGGGTCCTCACCGTGACGCTGCTCGCCATGAACAAGATCGAGGGGGACAGCATCAGCGGGGTCTGCTTCGTGGGGCTGTACAACCTGACGGCGCTGCGCTGGTTCCTGATCGCCCCTCTGGGACTGGATGTAGTGGTGAGGACGAGTATTACACACTAGAGATCATGCAGTGAGATCTTTTCTATTTAAATCTATTTTAGTCTGAATTATATGCAGAATACGTACTTTGTTTGGGGACAGTGGCTCCATCTTAAAATGATATCAATAAAACAAAACAAAAATAATGCATTTATTGATAATACAAAATAAACAAGTTAAAATAAGATTAAAAAAGAAAATGAAATGAAAAACAAATATCTACAGTGTACAAAGAAATGGATAAAGGCAACATGTGTAATACATGCAAAAAATACAATAACAAAATAAATACAAATATTGATATCAAAAGTTAAAGTAAAATGTGCACAGTGCTATTCATTATACTACATGTATATCACAATATATGCAGTGTTGTATTGGTATGACTAAGATATTGATTCTGAATGAATCAGCAGTACAGCACGGCTGGGTATTGGTTCCAACAAGAGGCATCATCACATCTAAAGTCCACCTGCATTTCATTCTTTGGTACCAAGATCTAGAAAAGAGTAACTGTGTTCACCAAGCGTTCTGACATGTGTTGAGACGTGTGAGTGGCACAGCACTGCAGCACCTACAACCCACACAGGGAGTTCAGCACGGTGTATCTCACTAAGTCGAACCCATCACACATTTGAAATGGTGGCGACACCACAGCTCTGTAGTGTCTAAATACAAATAAAAGAGTTATTTATAGTCTAATGGTAACAGATCAAGTCTGTACGCCATGATCTCCCTCTCAATCTGAGTGAAAGCACCCCCCCCCCCCTCTCGTTGTGGCAGGTGGGCGTGGCGCTGCTGCTGACAGGCATCGCCGCTCTGAACCGCGTGCGCATGGAGATCCCTCTGGAGAAGGAGAACCAGGAGAAGCTGGTGAAGTTCATGATCCGCATCGCCGTGTTCTCCGTGCTCTACCTGGTCCCCCTGCTGGTGGTCCTGGCCTGCTACCTGTACGAGAACAGCTACCGGAGCATCTGGGAGACCACCTGGGTCCAGGAGCAGTGTCGGGACTACCACATCCCCTGCCCCTACCAGGTGAGGACCAGAAGCTTCTCATGGAAGCCTGTGCTGCATTCCACTAATCATTCCCAATATCATTTCGTACATTATTTATAACTTTGGGCACAAAATAGATTTCACTTGCACGTCTGAAATATGTTGTGAGTTCCCTTTGTTGTAGCCTAACACTAGCTCAGCTTGTCTGCATGCACATTGATATCATCACATCACCTGTAACTATCTCTCCTCCTTGACAGAAGGAAACGTGATTTACAAGGGATGGTAGAAATGTAGAATATATGTTCAGTATCTGTATATATACAATAATAATAAATGATATTTATATAGCGCCTTTCAAGGGACCCAAGGTCGCTGTACGTGGTGGACAAACAAAGCAAACAGACAATCAAAGGGCAAACAAGACATAAAGGAAGCCGGGGGACCAAGAAAGGGCTCGGGCCCGAAGGCCAGGGTGAACAGGTGTGTTCTTAAGGATGACTTGAAGATGTCCAGGGAGGCAGCATTACGGATCTCGGCAGGAAGTGCATTCCAGAGGGTGGGGGCTGCAACACTGAACGCCCTGTCCCCAACAGTTCGGAGGCGAGAGCGGGGGATGGAGAGCAGGCCCGTGTCTGAGGACCCCAGACTCCGAGAGGGGGTGTAGGGATGGAGGAGGTCCGAGGTACTGGGGGGCGAGGGTATGGAGGAGGAGGAGTGTTTTGTAGTGAATCCGGGACTTGACCGGCAGCCAGTGGAGGTGGATGAGGGTGGGGGTGATGTGTTGCCATGGCTTGGTGCGGGGGAGAAGCCTGGCGGCAGAGTTCTGGACGTATTGGAGCCTGTCCAGGGGCTGGGAACCCCGGACAGGACTCCATTGCAGTAGTCCAGACGGGATGTGACGAAGGAGGCGTGTACGAGTGTTTCTGCCACAGAGGCAGAGAGGGAAGGCCGGAGTCTGCCAATGTTTTTGAGATGGTAGAAGACAATAACACCATATGGTGATAACGCTGCATCATCAATCTAATATGATGGAAATCGCAACATGGACTAATGCAATATTCAAGTCACAGTAAGCTCAACATTTAGTAAAGGCTAAATATTTTTATATATATGGCATTTTGTATTTTATTTTAAGTATTTGAGCATCAAGGATATCTTGGCCTAACAAAACATATTGGTTTGATATGGATCCTTTAAAACATATCACACCCTATATCTTTACAAAAATGACCAATCCCTTCATATTGCAGTATCAGTCAAAAACAAGAGGCCAACATGCAGGGTCGTGTAGGGCTGCCATTGTGCCTCCTACTCGTTACTAGAGTTATATATCCTGCTGCATTACAGCCCATAACCCAGAAGCATCCAGGTGACAGCTCCCTCAGATTGAAAGTCCTTCGGGGACCTCTGGTATCTGAAGCCCTAATGCATGTATTCATGACGCTCCGCACAGTTTGCACAGATGTTTGTACACATTAGAAGTACAACTGGGACTCCTGTAAGGAAGCAGGGAGACAGAGCAGGAGGCAACAGCTGGAGGCCGCCAGATGTGTTTGCACACAGAGACATTAGAGAGTGCGATGCTCACAGAGAGTGTGTGTCCTGCATGTAAACAGCCGACACAGAGTGCACACACACACACACACACACACACACACACACACACACACACACACACACACACACACACACACACACACACACACACACACACACACACACACACACACACTCATACAGGAGACGATACAGGGATAGGTCGTGCTGCGTGTCTTCAGCAGGGAGGCACCCCTTTGTTAATGTGACGGTTTAGCAGTTACCAAACGGCACCACAACACACATTTATATAACCATGATACACAAACGCTATGATGTTTTAAGGTATGGCGCTTGGGTACTACGATAGATATTCCAGGTGTCATTCTCAGATATCAATGTAATCTTCCAATGTAAAAATAAAGGGACATTCGGTACGTTATCTCACCTGAATGAATACCATGAGAGTAACAGTATTCGCTGATAGAGCTGCAGCTGGGGGGGGGCGGTGCTGCATTGAGTCAGATCAGTGGTGCTCTTAATCTGGCACGTAAACACTGCATTGTGTAAGAGAGCAGTGCAGTAATCCTGTGTGTGTGTGTGTGTGTGTGTGTGTGTGTGTGTGTGTGTGTTCCTGGGTCAGTGGGGTCAAGCTGCACAGCATCACAGTTACTGCAGATGTGATGCTGTCTGTTCTGTTTCCATATACCATGCCAACAGTGCGCTGCAGGGATGCCTCAAGGTGTAGAAGCCCACAAAGTTTCATCCTCAGCCCCCCCCCCTCTGTGTTCATGAAAGCACACACGCACAGAATGCCTTCACACACAGTCAATAGCGTGCATCAGAAGATAGCTGAGACTCAAAGTGCATTACTATATTTATCTGAAAAGGTTTCCCTGAGGCTGGGAGCTGCACTCTGCTGAGGCTGGACACACACACACACACACACACACACACACACACACACACACACACACACACACACACACACACACACACACACACACACACACACACACACACACACACACACACACCCTTCCGTCCCGTTGAGGCTTTATTAAAGTCCATGAGTCTGATGTCCTGAAGCAGAACACATGACCGCAGTGAGTAACGAGGACTTCCTGTAGTTTCCTATCTCTCTGTGTAATGATGAGTATATCAGTGGATCGCTGGGCCGGGCCCCGGGGCCTCCGCTCATAATGAGGCCACGATGACTACATCTGTGTGTGACTGCATTCTGTGTGTGTGTGTGTGTGTGTGTGTGTGTGTGTGTGTGTGTGTGTGTGTGTGTGTGTGTGTGTGTGTGTGTGTGTGTGTGTGTGTGTGTGTGTGTGTGTGTGTGTGTGTGGTGTGTGTGTGGTGTGTGTGTGTGTGTGTGTGTGCGTGCTGCAGGTGGAGCGCACCAGCCGCCCGGACCTCGCCCTCTTCCTCACTAAGTACGTGATGATGCTGATCGTGGGAATCCCCTCCGTGTTCTGGGTGGGCAGCAAGAAGACGTGCTTCGAGTGGGCGGGCTTCTTCCACGGCAAGAGACGCAAGGAGTACGTACTTTATACCTGACACTGAGGAGTTTCATAGAAGATGCTCAACACTAGTCACTCCTCACGTGATGTGGAAGTGTGAGCAGAATGCTAATCATTTCATCCCTTTGTAGTGATCATTAAATAAAAACAACACCGGTACATTTTAATCTCATTATTTATTCTTGCATAAAACATATTTACATATTCTTATAGAAAGAAACATACACAATCAATATGAGGACATTAAATATGATGAATGTATTGGGATCAATTGAACGGACTCCACTGATGAGCCAAGTTCTGACATTAACAGATTCAAACTTTAGCATTCATCCAAATGATGAGCCATTCAAGAAATGTTCATGTCCTCTCTTTAATATGGTGAGGCATTCCAACTGGATTATTATGGGATGCATGAGGAGCACTGCAAGGTCTCTGATGTTTGTAGTGTGTAGATGTGTGGTGAACACTGGCCCTTCTCTGCACCCCCCCTCCAATCAGAGCATTAACCCCCTCTCCCCCCGCCTGCTCCACCCACTCCTCCATCCTCTTCTACCACACCCCCCGCCTCTCTACCTTCCCCCTGTCCCTCCCCTCCCTGCTGCGCCTCTCCCTCCCTCCACTCCCCTCCTCCTCCTCTTCCTGCTCTTCCTGCTCCGCCCCCCCCTCCACCCACCGCAGCCGGATGGTGAACGACAGCCGGCAGGTGCTAAAGGAGCCCGACTTCGCCCAGCTGCTGCTCCGGGACCCCAACACCCCCATCGTCAGAAAGTCCCGGGGCACCTCCACCCAGGGGACCTCCACCCACGCCTCCTCCACCCACCTGGCCATGCTGGACGAGCCCCCCAGCGGCAGCACCAGCCGGGCCGGCTCGGTCCGCAGCACCCGCTCAAAGATGAGCAGTTACCATGGCAGCCTGCACCGCAACCGTGACGACAGGTGGGTGTAGCTCTCAGATTCTGACCCCCCCCACTCAGAGTCCACCTCCTGACGCTGTTGTTTCTGTCGCAGGTACACCGCCCCCAGCTTCCGGGCGGCAGACGAGCGCCCCCCCCTACGGCAGCATGCCCCGCCTCCACGACCCGCCGCGCCACTGCAGCACCACCCGCCTGGACAGCCTGTCCCGCCACGGCTCCACCCAGAGGCTGGAGAGCCAATCGAGGCACAGCAGCGTCAGGGACCTCACCAGCACCACCCAGGCTGTGCTCGGGGGCCCTGGCAACGGGATCCACCGAGTGCTGGAGGAGGACGGAGGGACCGCCTGAACACCACCTCGATACTTCAGAGGACTGTAGAAAAGACTCCGTTTCTAGAAAGGGAAATAATGTGAGGATCCACAGCGAGCCTCTCAGAGGGCGGGAGGGGCTGATGGAGCGCAGAGCGGAAGCTGTCACTGATGACGTCAGCTACATCCTGCCAGAGAGGGCTGAGGGTGGTGTGGGTCCACGCCTTAAAATGTCCTCTCAGCTTTACTCCACTCTCAAAAAACTGAACTTTAAACTTTGACCAGTTTACACCCCACCATGGTGCTGCTGGTGCTGATGGTGCTGCTGGTGCTGCTGGTGCCCTGTGAAACACTGGAGAACTCTGACAGATGCACTGGATGTTTTTGACTGTAACTGTTTGTATAAAGGACTAATGCCCCTTTCACACCAGCGCTTTTTCAGCTCCGGCTCGGAGTTAGAGTCTGAAAAGCGCCGGTTTTTCCTGTTCACACCGCAGCGGCGCCGGCTCTTAGCTCCGGAATCCGGTTCACTTCCAGCTCCAAAAAATTGTCGGTCTAGAGGCAAGAGCTTCGGAGCTAAGAGGTGGCGTCGCTTATGTCTCTCTTACGTCGAGGCGTGCAGGAAACTAAACCCTCCTCCCCTGAACATGGGTCGACTGTCATGCCTGCCTCCAAGCAGTAGTGCTTATAAACACACTTTATAAAGTCAGGCAACACTAACCAGGCTTCGTGTGATTCTGTTTATTTGTACCTTACTTTGACCATCCGTTCACTGTTATTGATCATTGTGGAGAGAGGCAGACGTTTTGTTTTGTATTATAGCAGCTATCGGATGGAATCAATACATGGGCTGCACACGTTGTCGTGTCCGACTATCACAAGTAGAATCATAATAAAAATACGCCGGTAAAATGTGCCTGGAGAAAACGGTTTATGCCACAATAGGATAGCAATAGCAAGTAGTCAGTTTAGCTTCGGTTGCTATGCTAACATCACCCATTTTATACCAGAGAAACTTTCATAACAGCGTTGTGATACCAAACAGCGTCAATTCAGACTGACACACATTCACTTAGGCTAAGGGGAACTGGGGATATGCATCAGCTGCTTGTGTGAGTCGGACAGTGAATACTTTAGAGCGGCCGCAGCAGTGTGAGCTAACCGGGAGCTAACGGAGGAGAATAAACTCCCGTGGAAGAGCAGCCAACACTGCAGCGGTCGGTAAATGCTGCAGAAACACATTAATAAACAATGAACCACGGCACTCTGGAGCAAAGTATAAGGTTGGAGAAGTCGTTATTCAATTTAATCTGGCTTCGTGTGATTAAAAGCAACACGATCATCGACCGGAGGCAGTTCCCTGTTGTTGTTGTTGTTGTTGTGAGCGCCGTAATGCCGTTGGGGAGCAAATCAGCGATGTAAACGATGACGTCATGACGCAGCAGCGGCAGCAGCAGCGGCAGCACCAGTCGGGTGCTGGGCGGTGTGAACAGAGCGGGAGCAGAAAAGGGAGACCGGAGCTGAACCAGAAAAGCTCTAGCTCGGAGCTCGAAAGGGAAAAGCGCTGGTGTGAAAGCCGCATGAGTGATGGACATTACACCGCCCTCTCTTTAGTTTGGGCGGAGGCAGGGTGTTTTTCATGGCTACATTTAAACACTTTGCACCCGTCACTGCGCCTGCATTATTATTCAGCATCAAATCTATCCTGGTTCATTAACCTGATGTTTAGACATTTATTCACATCCAATTTGAAACTCCACATGAAATCCAACAAATGTGCAAGAAGTGTAAGGAACAAGCGCTCTTTATATATGCTGTACATGACTCGTGAACTTTCTAACAGCCTTCTCTCATTTGACATTTGTTTTGATGTTGAGGTTCTTCATTGCTTGGTGTGACGATGTAATGACGACAGAAGCAAAGGGCTGCAACAGGAACAGAGCTGAATCCAAACTCCTGCCTTACAGTGAATAGATGATAGTCGCCCTTAAACGAGAGTGAACTCTCAGTTAGTCCGTCCTTTAAACATGTGTCCTTACTCGTATAGCTGCTGTCGAATGTTTGAGTAACATTTCCTCGAGTGGCACATATTGTAAAGCTGTAAAAACTTCTGCTGTTCATTTGTAATAAAGTTTTTTTTAAGAATGTACATTTGTCAGCGTAATGACCACACAGCGACACACGGGGTTGTATTTGTAACAGCCCTCCGCTTTATTGAAATACATCGGAGTCAGGTTAATATAATGAGCTCTCCACATAAGTGTGGCAGCCAGTTCCATACATTATTTTTTGTTTTGACCTTACACCTTAAATATTCTTTTTTGTGCAAAACAGATTCTACATCACCTGTAGTGGGTTATCCTCAGTAAAACGCCCAAACCGTTCAAAAAAGGAGCAAGTAAAACAACAAACCGAAAACAAAAATGATTACATCTATAACATGCAAAACTGTACAAATTATTACAAAGCAATCCTAGAAAAAACAACAAAGTGTAATATGATATGAAAGAGCAAAAATAATATAGAAGGTACTGTAGATAAGACCTCACTGAAATGCAAAGGCGTTTGAATTTTTTTTTGTTGATTTCCTTACCACTGTGGCACCTCAAACCCCCTGCCACCTGAAAACATTTTCTCCACCTTTATCCTGCCGCCTCCACCTCTTCTGTACACTCGTCTCTCCTCACCCATCCATCCTTATCATTCCCATCGAGATGAAAATAATTCATTGGTTCTTCGGACAATTCCTGAGTTTCTCTTTCCTTTAACTGGGATGTGTAGGATCAGTTTTTCTGTACAATATTGGCCAATAATAAAACACCCCCACCCCGCCCCATCTATCTAATACATTCTACAGAAACTCCAGGAGACTCACTAGCTTTTAAAATAGGTGGTTGTTTGGAATAACCCCCCCCCCCCTCCTTTCTCTTTATATAAAATGGAATACTTAATAAAAACACTTGGAATGGGTTATTTTAGCGCCACTTGGTTTTTGTGTCCCTTTCTAACAAACACAATGGAATAGTTTAGATTCGGGCAGGTCAGTATTAGAATACTGTGCGTTCTTACAGATAATACCACGTTAGAACCACATTTTATTTAGTGTTTAATGTTGTTCCCGTACAGTTTGACCCCCTTCTGCCGTATGAAGCATTCCTGGACCGAAGCACTTTTCCATCAGGAGGTTACAGAGGCCTTTCTACTCGGGGGTGTAGACATCCAGCCCTTACAGACAACAGGCAGCACTGAGGTTCATTCATCAAACGGTGCCCACTTTAAGTGTTTTACATTCTCCTTTGTAGTGTTTCTTAACAAATGTGTCTTCAGAGTATACATGAGAAAGAACGTCCTCTAATGTCCTTTTAGTTTCTGGGTTAAATCAACACTGATCTTTTCCGTGAACAGAAACTGTGGATTACATTTTCAATTCCTCCTCCGACAGTGAGAAGGAGGAGGAGCAGGACGAAGGCATAAAACACCACCTCAGCATGTGTGTGTGTGTGTGTGTGTGTGGGTACATGTGTGATAAATGTTCACTCTACAGTAGTGTTGATCCAAACGCAAACAGAGTGGGAAAAGAAAACAACGTGTCATACATAAAATATAAAACTAATTAAAAATCAATGGGTAAAAAAAAAGTGGTTTAAAATGGCTTTTTGTGTGAACACAACCCGAATCACTCTGAAAACAAAGGAAATAAGAAATAAACGTCAAGGAGGATCTTTTTGTCTCTCCTGTGTAGTTCTCTAAAGTATTTCCTTATCATATATTACTCTCTACTTTGAACCTATGTACATTATTGTGATGGGAACCTGTTGGTCAGTTTGGTTGTACAGCAAGGCGGAGCGTCTACACTATGACTATGATGTCACTCGCGTTGGACCAATAAGGAGAGAGCACAGATGTGATGATGTCATAGTAGCTTTTTGCTGATGGTCAAAATAAAAAATAGTATAAAGTCACTGCACTTAATATCATGAGCAAAAAAAAATCCTTTCTCCTTTTTCTTTTTTTTTTACATTTAGAATTTTTTGCAGCACCCAAAGAGAAAGCAAAGAAAGGGGAAGTGAGGGGGGCTAAACTCCACCCATCTGATTCTGGCCATGAAGCGAAACAAGCCTCCCTTCTAAGAATGATAAATAAATTAAAATATCGTCCCCTAAAACCCAACGGGTCCTATGTACAAGTACAAATCCTGTTCTCTCATTATAATCCTCTTCTCTTTTTGTTGCATCGTGAGGCTTTTGAGTCTCTGAATGAATCTCAGCGTGGGGGGGGGGGGGGGGGGACAGAGTAGTGTCAATGACGCTTCGGTTGATAGCAAAAAGACGGGAGCGCTTCATTCCTATATCGTATGCCCTTTCTGAATTATCACATGCACACACTCTTCTTGGCAAACGCATACAGCTTTTTTCTCTCTCTCTCTCTCTCTCACACACACACACACTCACACACACACACACACACACACACACACACACACCTCAAACATCAGCACCCACATGTACACTCATTTTTAAAGTTCTCCCTCAGAAATGACGACTCCCCATCTCGGAAGTACGATGAGACAATTTGAGGTCGTAAAGTGGGACAAATGTTCGTCAGGAGGTGCAGTTCTCTGGGCAGTGGGGGGGGGGGGGGGGGGGGGGGGGGAGTCCTGTGCTGTCGGTCGGGGGGTGGCGGGAGGGAAGAGGTGTCAGGCTCATGTGTCCCAGCCCATCCGGTCTGTGCTCTCCAGGGACAGGGACTTGGCCTTGTGAGGAGAGGCCGGGCTGGGGGGGCTGCTGAAGGTGGAGCTGTTGGAGGCCGTGGAGTGACGGGGGGAGTCCGAGTCCTGGAGGGGGGGAGGACGGACAGAAAGAGGAGAGGAAAAGAGTGGGTGAAGTTTGGGGGAAGATAAAGGAACAGGGGAGAGACACGTTAGTTCAGTTATGTAAATATATATAAAACATACAGTATTTCTAACACTCAGGAGCTAACGGCTAACTCTCTGGAGGCTAACAGAGCGCTGCAGGGAGGAATCTCCTTAGAGTGCACAATCAGATTCAGAAAAGCTTTAATAATACCGTCTGGGTTGTTCCATTACAGAATACATTTTAAAATATAATGTATTATATAATATATAATATAAGAAGTAAGAATGTGCAATAAAAGATAAAAGTCATCATCTTGTCAAAGACATTCCGCAAAACAAAATGGCAGACTCATTCCCAGGTTTTAGGGCTACATTCCACATCAGCAGCAGATGATCAGCTGAGGGAAAACCAACATGCAGCAGGCCAGATGGGGGGGGGGGGGGTCATACTGTACTACACATACAGTATGACTGTCCTTGGGAGAGGAAACACACATGACACTGAGGAGGAGAAACGACATGTGTGCTACAGGACACTGTTTACAGTCCAGTGATCATGTCCTCAGGTTATTATGGGATGGGTAATGATCTCATGTGTTGCTAGGATACATATGTTCCTGTTCAGTGACTCTCTGATGTGCAACAGTGTCCTGTGATCAGAGCGTACTCTTCTAACATCTCCACCTTCTACATCCCATCCCTCAGCACGTGGCACTGCGGTGTTTTCATATACATTTATTTCTTCTTTATGGAACCAATATTCCTGTTTTACTGTTCTTGCACTTAAACATGATCGTAAATGAAAGATAGATTTTTGTTTGTGTTTGATGTATACATTCTTTCATGTAAGTTTCTAATCATTTCTTTATTTTTACATTAGGGTTGCTCAATTCATAAACAATGATTCAAAATCCAGTAACTAGTGAAATGTGGAAGAAGGCGCAATATTTCTTAAAATAAATGTTTAAACGATTATCATTAAGGATCGAAGTGTTACAGATCCTCTCGAAAAACAAAACCACACCTTAGATAATGTTATATGTTAATAATGTTAGTCAAAATAATCACAATTCATTTTTCCATTTTTTCCCCAAAACATATACATTTCTATTACAGAATTGGCGCCGTTGTAATCTTATTTCCCCGCTCAGGTCAAGTATTTCTGATTCGGATTGAAACTGCACAGTGTGTGTGGGAGGAGCACTGCCCAGCTACATATTCTACACATCTTTGTGGATGTGATGCTGTGTTTCAAAGCGCTCATCCTCATCATCATCATCATCCGACAAAGAGATCAGAACCACTCTGAAGCATGCAGCTGCCATCTGATTGGCTGTTTGTGATCAGTACATCCTGCAGGGTGAACCCCGAGCAGACGACACAGCACCCTTATTATTTGTGTCTTATTTTGCTGCGAGGGGGACAGCCCATGTGAGGAACATGGCGCCTGTCGGGGGGCCGTGTGAAGCAGACATGCTCTGTGAGGGTGGAGGAGATGGAGCAGCAGCGTGGGCACCGTTTATCAGCAACAGAAAAACATGACGGAGGCCGGGTGAGGGTGGTGCGGCTGGCGCTCCGGTGAAACATGGGACAGCCATCAGGTGCAGGTGGACGGAGGCTAATGTGTGTGTTTATGGGAATGACTGTGTGTGTGTGTGTGTGGTGTGTGTGTGTGTGTGTGTGTGTGTGTGTGTGTGTGTTGATACTCAGTGCCACTCTCAGGTGTTGACATTACCTTCATCTTACTAAGCAGGGTCCTTAAAGCCCTTTTCAGATCGGGGGTCTTCTCCGACGGGGAGACCTCCTGCCACTGCAGAGGAGAGTTCACGCTCAGCGCCCGGCCCACAGACAACATGCCGGGGAGGGGGGGGGAAGGGGGCGAGGCACGGCTGAATGAGGGTGGAGGGGAAGGCAAGGAATGGGGCAAAACATGGAGCGTCCAGGCTGATGGGGCCAAGAGGATGGGGGGGGGGGGGGGGGGAGCCACGGGTGAGATGGCAGGCGCGTTGAAGTTGCCCAAAAATCGCAATGGCTACGTTTCATCCTAGTCATTTAGTTTGTGTTTTTGGGGAATATACTAACTACAGGGACCTTCACACGTTAGGAGGCAACAGCTAGCCCGAGCTAACGCTACAGCAGGTATCACTTTAAAGCGCTAACATCACAGGGAGCTAACGGTGTGTGTGACTGGGATGAGGTGGAGGCCTGCACCCGGGGGCGGGATGTGTGTGACGGATGGGTTCAGGGGGAGGTGTTTGAATGGGGAACAATATTATCACTTTTATAATATTTGATCTTCAAGACCAGCGTCTACAGTCGGGTGGCAGGGAAACAATGAAGTGCCTTTGGGTTCATACAGAGCTGGAACTGAAGCCTGGTTTAACAAAGAGCCGTCCGTTAGTGGTTCAGCTCATCACACCAGACCTCTTAAAGAGACAGGGCTTGTTTTAGTATCTAGTCAACCGCACATGGAGCTGTATGCTCAGTGTTACTCACCTCTCTGTCAAACTGTGAGAGCGGTGCGTCGCCGCAGTCCATGCCCCCCCCTGAGGACAGGGAGCTCTCCGAGGGGGAGGTCATGGTCTGCCGTTTGGAGCTGTAGCTCCCCCCCGACAGCTCTCTGCGGAGCGCACTGCCGTTCTGAGAGGAGGAGCCTGGAGAGAGAGGGGGGGGTCAGGGAGGAGCAGCAAACAGGAAGTCGAGTGGAGTTTATTCGGCTCTGTACTCACGTATGCCCAGCCCGCTGCTGGCGCTCATGGAGCGGCCCGGCTCCGCCCGGTTCTTGGTGATGGAGGGGATGCTGACGGAGCCGCTGAAGCCCGCCCGGCTCTCCTGAACACGGACGTTCTGGTTTAAACACGCACGGAGCAAACATACACACACACACGGAGTGCAGTGCAGGGGACAGCAGTGAGGAGGGGGCAGTGACATACACTACATGCAGCTGAACGCTAAGCTGTGATTGGTCGCTGAGGTTTGCATGCACAGTGTCTATACAAGCAGCCTGACAGGAGGAGGGAGAACTTCACAGGATGAAGGGATGTGATGAAGAGGAGGGTCAGCGTGGGAGACATCAAGCCGCTCGGAGCACAACGCGGGTGCTGAATGTTAGCATGCTAAAGGCCAGGGGGGGGCTGGCTCTGAAGCCGGGCTACTAACACACACATCGCACACTCCCAAGTGTTGTCTGCTTGAATGTGCACGTGTGTTTCTGTGCTGACTCCCCTGTGGTGTTCACAGTGTGTTATTAACACATGTATGTAATGATTATCCAGCTCCATTTGGAATCATAATAATATCCTGATAATCAGAAACGTATTGGAATCTTGTTCTAAGAATCAAATACATTTGCTTTTTCCCCCATTAATATAAAATATCTAATTAAAACATGACTTCCTCCCGCATATATAAAGAATAAATAACATCAAACCTAAAGCTGTTGGAATCGCTTTAACTTAACACATTTAGGAATAAACTATGTTAGCATATCTTTTTTAGAAAAATAAAGGATTTAATTAAAGGTTTCCCCTGTATTCATAAATATAAAGAAATATTGGTTTTTATGAATCTGGCTCTGGTTTGACTTATTATTTTATAATATCTCATATCCTACGATTTATAGCTGGTGTTTTTTTATTACGACCCTTGAGATAATCCTATATGATCCCCTCCCTTCCTTGTGCTTACACAAGTCTTTAACAACGTGCAAGTGAGTGCTAATGTTCAGATTAGGTTTCTACCATGGGCAGGTCTTTGAGGATCTGGATCCCGTCTCCTGGTCCCATGTGGGCCACGTGGTTGAAGTTGGTGGGGTTAGAGATCAGCTTGTTCCTCATCTCGGGATCTCGCAGCATCTCTCTGGAATCACAAACACACACAACACATAAGAAGAGGCCGGCTCTGTTGTGGTTGGTCAACTGCTTAGACATGTCCCGCCTCTTTGCTTAGCTTACAATGTGTTGGAATGCTATCTTATAGAAGAGTGAGTGTTACAAAGTGATGTCACTATCTTAAGGAAGTAAACAGAGAAGTCCAATGGTGGCATTTCAGGCAGGGGGGGGGGAAGAAAACAGTGATTTTAGCCCAAAGGAGTGTGTGGGAGGAATGGAAAGCCCCAAAAAGATAAGAGGGCCTCTTTAATGGTCACTTACATGAAGATGACATGTATTCCCTGATTCTTTCGTATCGTTTAGATTCTCTCTTCAGACACTTTCTCGGTCACATGACTCTTAAAACAATGTCATCTTTACCTTTAATCACAAGTGTTTCTGTTGTGTTATATTCTAGTGTTCCTGAGTGCCTTGGTAACACAGCGACTCAGAGTGCGTATAGCTGTGTGTAAATGTGTGTGTGCTGCAGGTGGTCTACCTCCTCTGCTGGAGCCGCTCCTCCTCCGGTATCCTGAAGGAGAAGCGTCTCTTGTTGTTCATGCTGCGCACCAGCTGCTTCCTGCTGTTGTCTGACGTCTCCGGGACAACCAGCTCATCTCCCTCTGCGAGGTCACAACAGAGACACAGGTTGTTTACGAGAGAGACTACAAAGTGTTCTGACTGGCATCTCAAACTTTCTCCTGTCACCCAACTTGCTTTTATTCAAAAGAAAAGTTGGCAACAAGTCCTGGAAACTGTAGCTACATATGGAGCTGGAGCTAACTCTGGAAGCAACTGGCAGAAATAAAACCTTCTACTTGATGGAAAACAATGGAAAACATCTGAGGATTATTTGTGTCATTCTTGACATTTTTGCAGTTCATATTATTTTTCTTCTTTCCTCAATACACTTGTGAATTCTTACCGGCCATCTTGTTTCTGAAGTAGATCAGCCGCACTGTTTCCAGGCCCAGCAGGTTCAGAGAGCCGTCCACATTCAGAGGTCGCACCTGAAGAGGAAGCATTAGATATATATAATCATGCCATGGGTCAATAGGCTGCTACTAGACCAACTGCACCGATCAGCAGCTCTGACCATCTTAACCTTCTTGTATAACCTGTGCAATTCTTTTATTTCCTTTATCTTATGTTTGTATAAAGGTTTTTATTTAATTGTATCTTCTTTTTGTACTATTTTAATTATATCTTTGTATTTTTCTTTTGTTCTAAAATTGAGCAACTGTCGCAAACATAGTCTCCCCAGTGGGTAACGTATTCTGATCTGCTCCATTTCTTTTTATTATGTCAACTGATGTAAAGTAAACTTAACAATAAGGACTTTTTTTTTCTATTCATGCGGCAGGGGAATGAGTCAGGTTTCTATGACGACAGAGGCAAGTAGGATTCTTTTTTAAATCCAGCAGGTGGAGCCAGAGATGCCTTCAGATACCGGCGCTTAATGTGGCGGACCCTCGTGTGTAGGGGGCGCTTTGGAATTGGGCCTATTGCTGCTAAAGCTTCAGCACTGACCTTCTTCAGAGGGATGGTCTGAATCCACTCCATGGTGTTGACATCGAATACATCCACAGCGTTCTCACTGTACACCGACAGGTAGGGGGCGTTGTAGCCTGGACAAAAGAAAGCAGCATTGGTTTTTCAAATGCGCCTCCATATGTGATCTCCATGTTAATAACCATTCAGACGTGCACTCACAGGCGGAGATGGGCACAGCGGGCCACATGAGCTCCTGCTGCCGGGACCGGCGGCCCTGAGAGTCCACGTACACCCCGATGGAGCTGAAGCACAGCAGCAGCTCCTTGCTGGAGATCTCCACGGCGCAGAAAGCATCCAGGCTCTGCTGCGGGATGAAGGCCAGGGTGTGGTCCTCGGGGTGGAGCAGGTTGACGGGGGACACGTCACCATGGACACTGTGGAGGTCAGAGTCATCACATTCAGAAATGTGGAGAAATGTAAAACAATGACCTTACTTACTGAAGTGCACATTCAATATACTTGGACCAAACTGGAGTATCCTTTTCTCTTTCAACTGCTACAGATCTCAGAAGCTAATATATTACTCCTTATTCCCCTTCATTTATCACACAGCTTTTAAGGCTATTTACTTAAGGTCATTTGGAGTGTACGTGTTTCTTAATAAACTAAAAGATGAAGTGTTTATACTTCCTAAGCTAAATCAACTATACTTATAAAGACTCTTGGAACAGGTGGAACATTTATCACAAATCTGGAAATAGGAGAACTCCTAAAACTTTCGGTTTGAAAAAGGCACAGGGACAAAGTTACAGACATGACGATCTTATAGAATATAATGCTTTGTTCTAGATTAGACTACACAACCGTAAATAAGGGCGTTCAAATGAGTAAACCATGAACACCTGCAGCAGTAACATCAATCACATAAATGCAGCAGTTATGTTTATCAAAAAACATCAAATATTACTTCAAAACACTGACATTTTACTGCACAATTACTGATTGTTGATACTTAGAGTACATTTAGCTTATAATACTACATACCTACAGTAGACTTAAGTAAGTTTTTGAAAGCAGGACGTGTCGTGTGTGAAGGTTTTAAGTGAAGGACCTTAATACCTTTTCACTGAATGTTAACAAACCAGATCTAAACCCATGAGAGGAACATCTCCACTGTGTTGATGTCAGTACCTGTAGCGGGTGAATCCAGACTGGTATCCAACGTAGAGCCGCTCACTGAGCAGACCCATCCACTGAACGGGCCCCGGGGCCTGCACCTCTCTCAGCCGGCGGTGACGAGCTTTACTCTTATTCACCTGCAGGGGGACAAAGACCTTTATTCAGCAATGTGATCAAAAGGGAAAGACATGGCACTCATTCTCAGTTTGACTGAAATAAATAATGATTTATTGGACTGTGTGTTCTCACCTCGTAGCAGATGACCTGCCTCTTCATGGCCACGCAGAGGCAGGTGAGGGAGCCGTTGCGCACGGGGCCGGAGACGATGGTCTGGCAGCCCTTTGTCTCTGCCAGCTTGTAGGACTCCGTCTCGCGGCCGTCCAGCGCCTGCGTGGGGAAGAGACGCACGTGGCGGTTCCTGCCGGAGATCACCGCCAGCAGCTGCTCCTGGGAGATCAGGTCGATGTGGTGCACCTTCTTGTTGTCCCCCACCCGGATAATTTCTGAGGAAGCAGGGGAAGACGGGGGTGTGAACACATTTGAGGATAAACGTACAGAAGAAGACGTTTTGGCCTTTCTATACAAATAAAAAAACAAGTGAGGTAGAACATCTTATTTACCATCTTTGGTGACATGGATTACAAAAAGGCCTTCCTCGTTGCCCAGGGCTACGCGCTCGTGATCTGAGGGTGAAGAAAATGAAGCAAGATGGACATTTCAGTTTCAGTTAGGAGGCAGAAAACAACCTTCTGTGCGGAAAATGTTCAAATCGGCTAGCTCCTTTATTCATTCTCTGTACTCATTTGATAACGTTCTAGTGTTGAGATAACGACTGCGTAGAGATCTAGAATATAGCTTCCTATTATAGCTTCTTTAGCATGAGCGTGACTGTTGAGGCTCACCTATGATAGCAGCAGACTGTGTGGTCTTGATGAGCGGCAGGGTGCTGTCGTAGGCCTCCTTGGGGACGTAGACGAAGCGCTCCTTCAGCTTGTTCTTCTTGAGGATGCGGTGCAGCTCGTTGAGGAGGCCCACCCATTTGTTCCTCTCCTGATCGCTGTCGGCCAGGATCAGGATGGAGGGCTTGTGGTTGGCGGAGGGGGAGAGCAGGGACGCCGTCACCTGGGGGGAAGAGGGCCGGTGGAGGCTTGTATGAGAACAATTCAGATTGTTTTCAAGTTTTGGTTTCAGTCAGCTGAGAATACTTACTCTGAATATACAGGGGATGTCTTTGCGACTGGCGTGGATGACATCAGAGGCCAGGACAGAACTTACTGAAAACTCTTCATCCCTGGAGCACAGGAAGAAGATAAAGGTTAGACCTAGACTAGGTTTAGTTGGTCGACAGGAAACTCATCTGCAACTACTAATATAATCATTTCTCTTGAAAAAAACACCAAAATAAATGTGCCATTTGTTGATTTGTCTTCTGTAAATAGTTTCAGATATTATGATCTAGAAACATAATATTCAAAGACTTGAAGTAAAAATATATTTTTAAATCCCCAACTTGAATTCCTCCACTTCTCTTACCTCATGTCTATGACTTGGCTGACTACGACACTTGGCAGAGTGGCTTTTCCTTCTCCCAGGTCGTACAGGAACAGTTTGAAGTCACACACCACAGCCATCGCCCTCTGCCAGCCCTTCTTCACCCCCGTAGGTTTGGGCACCTAGGACAGACACAGAGATCAATGAGTGATTCATTATGACACATGAAGATCATAGAAAAACCTTCTACAGTGTTAGAAATGGAAAGCTGCCTCCCAAACATCTGACTATTCTAATTCACACAACCACTATCTGTGACCAGACTCCTTGTCAGGTTCACTCACCCTGACGGTGCCTTCATACGCAGTACCGATGCCCCTCTGAGGGTCGATACCCAGCGGGCCCTTGGTCTGGTCCTGGGGCACGGGACACACAGCTGGAGCCTTGTCCGCACACGTTACATGGCAGGAGAAGTTACACACTGTGGACAGGGAGACAGGCCGAGACAAATCAGATGTTTGACTGCTTAGACATTTTAAAATCGATTTAAGGGCAAGGGAGTTTTGTAAATGGTTAATTGCACTTATTGTAAGTAGCTCTGGGTGTTAGCATCAGCTAAAAGCAAAGTGTTGTTATGTTTATTGTATGTTGCATTTTTTAAAGAGCCCAGTGCTTAAGATTTGAATTGCCAACAACTACGCTGTAGCTTTTGTGCAGATGACAAGACTTTGAATCTTGAATCTGTCCTTACCTTCACAGGTACAGCCTTGACGTATGAGCCCCACCATGAGGGAAGTACACTGGTTACACTTAGTGGGGGTGCTGAAGGACTTCACCACAAACTGATGTGCTTTGGGCTGTGGAGGGCGGACATGAATGAGCATTAATGAGCAGGAGACATCATGAGTGGTTTTAACATAACAAGGTCTAGTGTGGAAAAGGTCTTACCTTAGGAGAGGAGCGTCCAATACTGCCGTACCCTCCTGAGCGCATTGTGGGGGTCTGGACTGTACGAGGGGGGTGGTCTATCAACTGCATGACAGAACAAAGTAAAACATTGAGCAGTGAGATAATGTACTTTGACTGTATTTGAACAATGTATGAATTGTCACTTATAAAACTTGGCTTCCAAAGTATCTGAACTAAGGATGGATGTGACAAAGCAGGAGCTGGAAATACATCCAACAAACAGTTTCTATGAGGTTCATATTAGTAGAATGTGAGCAATGGGATTGCTTGCGGTACATTTGAAATTACTTGTTCCAAATTTGATTTTCCAGTTCCACGAGTCTCAATTAGAAAACTGGTATTAAACGTAGCACCATGTTCGACAACAGTGTGAGAACACACAAGTTCCATTTTCTCTTTCACATTTCTCCATAATTGAGACAATTGCAATTGACCGAGACTGACTTTTTCGACAAGCTCAGTATTGTGAGTTGTAGTACCTTCTTTGGAAATTGTTAATTAAATTGGAATGAGGAATATTTGGACCAATTTTGATCTGTTGTTCTTCGACATGCCAGACACACTTTTTTAACTGGTGATGGGAGGACTGAAGTCTTGTTGTACTAAGACAAGACAAAACACAAGAGTTTAATGCCCAGACTTATGCTGACCTCTATGGGCTCCATATCACTGGCCATGGAGGGTGACCGCGAGCGGGACTTGAGGTGCAGCTTGGGGTCATCGTCCCTGGATGGAGTGTTGGAGGGGGTGAAGTTATCCATGGAGTCCACCTGAGGAGGGAGAGGCAGGAGGGAGGAGAGGAGGAGAAATGCAGAGAAATGAGGAAGTGATGAGAGGAGGTAGGGGAGGAGAAAAAGAAAAAGGAGTAGAGGGTTATTTCAAAAAACAAACAAGAGAGTAATATGCATCATCCATGCGTAGAGAGAAAGAGTGGGTGCCATCATACAAAACATTATCCACAGACATTATGGTCAAGATGTGTGTGCATGTCCACTGGAGCACATCTTATTGCACCCCATGTATTAGAACATGAGGAACACATCACAGCCCAGGGGCCATGCTAGTTTGAGACACCCTAAGCACACACCTTACACCATGCACAGCCATTCACAAAGCTACACTGACACCAATACACACAGGCAGCACATATAGCAATACCCAATGTTGTTCAAATATGGAAGATCCAACAAATGAATACTTTTGACAAACACAAATATAAATAAAAATGTGTATAGGACCCCTGCCATGCAATCAGATAACATACGCAGGGAATACACACACATATAAAACACCGACATGACGAGACGGCACATTTAGAAGCTGCATGAGATCACAGAGAGCAGTGATGGTGCTTACGCGTCTGCCTTTGCTAGCTGGGCCAACGGATGGCGAGCGCTTCAGTGGCAGGAGAGCAGAGTGGCAGAGAGAGAGATGAATATCAGAGTGTGACAGAGCTAACACACAGTAAACACACTGAGGGGAAACAGGGTCATAACACTATTTATTTGATGTTATGTGGAATTAAATATGTATATATATTAATCCATTACGTTTTGCTAACTATTTCAAAAATGTATATCCATTTTGTATTGCCAACTATTTCAACTCTTTATCTATTACTTTTAATTAATTATTTCAACTGTTTTCCTGTTACTCTCAGCTAACCATCAAATGTTTATCTACTACTACCCAATATATTTGACTTTTAACTAACTATTAGAGAACTAAATATCTGCTCCTTTACTTTTAGCTAACTATTTCAACACAGCATATCCTTTACTTTGAGCTTGAAGTTGTATATCCATTACTTTTAGCTTACTGTTTTCCGGTCACTTATAGCTAACTTATTTAACTCTTTATCCATCACTCTAACCAATTAGTGGAACCATTTATCCATTATTTTAAGCTAACTGAATCAAAGTGTGCTCCTTTGTCTATTTCTATATATTTCAGTTGGGTGAGTTTAGTTCAGATCAGGTCATTAGTTGAGATTTGCACAACCTCCCTGCCAATGTCACTAGCACCAGGAACTAAGAACCACGGATTGGAAAACACTGCAGGAGACTACTGTATGTCTGTGTGGGTTGGACTGAGGACAGAGGCTGGATAGGATGGAGGAGGCAAAGGGAAAATCAAATACACATGGTGATGGGAAGGGAGCAGGAAAAGTCAATATGGAGCGACTCAAGTTCTCTTTCTGGCTAAAAGAAAAGGGATTACACAAGTGTGTAGGATTTAAAAAGAAACACAAGTGAAAGCGCCAGAAAGCCATTCAAATAGCCCACTGGCCTACTAGGACTAGCAAGCAACTGCATACAAGAGCAGAACACTTCAAAAAGATATCAATCTTAACAAGTATATGCACTTAAAACAAATACGTTGCGTTAATCAGAATTTCATTACTTTATCTCGTTGCATCTATTTTTCCATTTGTATTTAAATGGATGATAGTGGACCTCGTTTAAAAGATTGACATATTTGCAGTGTTGTTGCTCTTCTTTACAGTTCCACTGATGCAAAGACAAAACAACTTACTGACGCAATACGGCTACACAGATCTAAAGTGTCTTTCTCTGCTGTAAGCTCTTACAGTACTACAGCATACAACTACTGTTACACACACGTAGACCTCCGCCTAACCAACAACAACTTACGTCTTCCCAAAACTCAATTAAAGAAGATGAGGATGAGGAATAAGAGTCCTGATGTAGCAGAGAATGAAGCAAGGAAACAACCAAAAGATAGAACACAAATAAAGATTGTGGAAAAATCATATGAACAAAAAGCAACAAGGTAAAGCATGAAGAAAAGCACAGACATGTGACGGGTATGACCTGCTGATGAATGAGATTTATGATTCTCAAGTTGCTCTTGATCATAGATTTAAAATCATTAACTCCCCACAGGCATACGGTTGCTGACAGCAGCTGTATTGTATCAGGATTATTATTTTTTGGTCTTATAAACTTACATCAAACTGGTCCAGCGCTGAGGTGGGGGCGTTGAGAAAAGCCAAGAAGGAATTCTGGGAATCCTGGTGCTTGACACCTACAGACACAGAACCAATAACACAAATGGTGGTTCAGTCCGCCATCTCAGAACATCAAAGGGTGACTTAAACAAAAAGAGTCACAGGACTGTTTCTAAGAGATGGGGGGTGGTGTTTCATATGACCTTAGTAACAATACATGTTCATGCACACAGCACAGGATTTCATTTCTCAAATATGGCTTCTGACGCGCAAAACCTCCTTTGGATCCCGATAGTTCATGACGGGACTTTCAGGGATTACTTCTCATGGAAAGTTTCAGAGGGTGCGACGTCTAAGCAACCATCAACACATGATGTATAGAGAGTAACTGTGCATTTATGTTATGGTATATCTTTTGAACAAAAAACAAAACACCAGAATGTATGCCAAGATCACCATTTGTGAATGTAATAAAACAAGAGGAAAAGTGCCTTCTGGTTTGCATCAATTTGTTATTTTAACTTCAGGGAACAACGGTTTCAAATGATATTTTAACAGTTATGCCCTTTACAGGAAAACTATGAATAGGTCATTCTTTGTTTGATTTGGTCCACTGACAAGGAGACAGAGGTGGTTTATTTGTACCTCTTCGTAGCCGCAGCTCCTCCGTCTCCTTCTTCAGCCTGTCGATCTCTGCGAGGAGTTCCTGGTTTTTACTTTCCACATCTTGCAGTTTACTGGTGGATCAGAGACAATAATGTATCGTATATTATCAAGAGGTTTGTTAAAAAAAAACGACAAATCTTTGATCTTTCACTGTGGTTCTAACATTATCTGTACCATTCTGTGGACATGTTGTTGGCCTTGACTTTGTTCAGCTCGTCCGTGATGCTCTGCTTGGCTCTGATCTCAGCGTCTAAGGCCGACTGCAGCTCCAGACGGGCCGACATGTCCAGCTTGGCGAAACGCCGCATCTTCCACGGCATGTCCTGAATCAGAGAGTAAAACGTTAGTTTCTATGAAAGAAAGGAGGGATGGATGGAAAGGGAAGGATTTCTGAAACTGAGCCATTTGTACCTTCTCAAGTTTAGACTTGCTCATCAAGATAAGATAAACCTTTAATAATCCCCTTGGGGATATTCAGGTGTCATAGCAACAACAGCAATAACAGCGAAACACAGGATAGGACAGATACAGTTCACACAAGGATTATAAGTAGGACAAAAATGAGAAAACTAAATTAAATAACAGTGTAACAAAATGAAAACAATAGGAATAGGTCAATTAGTAAATTAGGTGACGTACGTGTGTGTTTGCGTGCGCATGTGTGTGTGTGTTTACCGTGGCCCTCGCTCCCAGGCTGGTGTTTCTCAGTCCCTCCAGCTCTTCTGTCATCTTGGTGGCCAGAGCCTGCAGATAACCCCGAGCATCCTTCTCATCACTCACCCTGCAGCAAACACAGAAACACACAGGTTACTATACATGCAGAGACATTACAAATACACACACCCATAAATAATGAAGGCCTAAGACAGGACCTAAAACCTATTTTGACTTTAAAAGGTCATTTCAACAGAATACAACACTGAAAAAAAATATTCAAAAGTTTCAACTTTTCTTTAAAAAGTCTACAGGCAGAGAAGGTCAAAGCCATCCTACTTATTCTACCAGAACTGTGACACCATGGTTTGCTCTTCATCAGTTCCAAAGCTTAAAATGTACCACTACCTATAGATATGGACCCACGTTCAGGCTGCAGGTCTGGGCACATCACTAATCCTTAACATTACAAGAAACACTGCCTGTGTAAAAGCATAAACTTTATACTGACAATTAAGTTTGACATCAGAACAAAACAAAACATCTTGTGATCTTGTCTACATATCATATTCCACCCACTGGGATCCTGTTTCCCATTATATCTTCTGCAGAGTCATAGTATCTCCACCAGGGGGCAGCGGCCATCACTAAATTCTTCTGAAAATGCATTCCACTCAACATTTGTATGTTTGGAATGTGAGTGTGTGCTTTAGTGTAAGTGTGTTTCTGCGTCTGGATGGATGTATCAGTGTGTGTGTGTGTGTGTGTGTGTGTGTGTGTGTGTGTGTGTGTGTGTGTGTGTGTGTTATGTGAGGACTGCAGGCTTGTCCTACAGAGGGAGGCTGAGCAGCTGGCAGGGTGTCAGCTGTGAAGGGAAGTGATCTGAGAGGAAGGGAGGGTCAAGTAGCTGAGATCTTTAGAGGCATGTAGAAATGCTGCAGTTGTACTGTAAGGAGGAACCCAATACACTACTACACAACACGGGTATGTATGTGTGACTGTATATCCCTGAAAAGAGCTGTCTATAGTATCAAAGGGAAGGTACGTGCCTCAGCATGTATTAGGGACATCTGAGAAAGCTTGCATGTGTGCGTATCAATCATATATCTTTGTATTGATATAGCACATCAAGGAAACACACATTAAACAAAGAATTCAAACCTCCCTCATTGTCTATAGACAGAGCAACACATCATTGTGTTGACAAATTAAAACACTTAATTCCAGCATAAGTCAATAAACAGAGGACTACAGCAGCTTGTAGTGTATAACGCCTGCAGTGCATGATCTAATCAAATGATACTTTGCAATAGTTTTTGATGATAAGGGAATACTATAGTAATACATCATATTCTAATAAGCACGTGACATTTGAAGAATTTGTCTAAATGTTGCCTATTGAAGAGAAAAAAACACTGAATTTAGTCATTTCTCATAAATGAACCACTTTCATTTAAGATATTCTGAATCTGTTCTCTTAATATAACCCCACTCCATCCCTCGCCTGGGTAATTGTTATTATTTCTTACCAACAATGGCCCTAAGACGCTAATCAATCTAATACATTTTATCCATAGAGCCCAATTTCACATTGACACATTTTCTTAGGGGGCTTTACAGTGTGGACATCACATGACACCCTCTGTCCTTGGACACTTGTAATTAAGAAGGAAAAACTCCAAAAGAAATTCCACAATTAATGAAGAAAGAAATGGAAGACACTTCGGGGAGATCAAGAGAGGGCTCCCACTCACGAGACTCACAGATGTTGCTTGTATAGCTAGAATTACAACATAGACAATCCAAATGATAATGTGTGCACGTGTCTCACCATTGGATGATTTCCGTGATCTGGGCCTCCCAGTGAGCCACACTCTCCTTCTTGTCGGCCAGCTCCCTCATCTCGTCCTCCAGCTGCCTGTTGGAGCTGCTCATCTTCTCAAACATGCTGGTGAGCTGCAGGGAGAGAAAACACATGGTATTAGCCATCATGCTAAAAGCGTAGCGTCGTCAAGCTGTCATTGGGAAGTATGACACCTGGTAAATGGATTCATATACAGTATATATAAATATAGACGCCATGACATAACATTGCAAGACTGAACTACTGTGTAATGAGTCTAACAGGTCACGTTGCTGCGGAAGCAAAGGTGCTCAGCCTTGACCGTGAGGACTGCTCCGATATGGAAAATGAATCATTGTATTGTTGAAGGTAATGACAGTTTTTATTAGTCAACTGCCAGATGATCAACCACGCTTGACTTGAGATGCCAGTGAAGACGTGACCTCATTGCAAGCCTCAAACTGCCCTATTGTTTGCTTCAATATTTCATTTGTGGGCGCATATTTTGGGTGTATTGCAACTGTAGAGACTGATGTAATGCGCAAGCTAAAACAGTCATTTATTATTGTTTTGAAATAGCTTTCCAATCTACGCTAGTGGCCAACAAATGTTTGAAATATCAGCTAGAAAATGATGTTGAAAAAGGATTCCAGCAACTAAAAATATACACAAACATGATATGAAAGAATTTTGTTTTTAAGCACATGCTTTTATTTGTTAGTAATGTCTCGCAGTGATGAAATCATTGCGTATATGACTAAAGTGTAAGTGTGCAGTCTGTGGTTGCAAATAGCATCTCAAGCACCACATCAGAAACACATTGTACTAAATCTGCACTGCCATCAAATGAAATGAAAAAGAGTCAAACTTGAAATGATATTTACTGTATAAGTGTGATGTACATCATGGCATGCCAATTTACTTTGAGGTTCGGGGCTGCATATAAAGTCAAAATGATATCGAAGTCGCAGTATGGACTAGTGACAGGAAGCACAATATTTGTTTATGGCTAAATATGGGTTAAAATAACATTTTGAATGAAGTATTGTGCCACGATATTGCGGCCTACAAATCATATTGTATAGTATTATCAATCTCAGTGATTGTGATGTTAAATGTTTGCTTTTCTTGTATTGTGTCTTAATATCTGTCCTTATTAATGTTGCAAATGGAGCTGCTTTGAAGCAAGTCAAATGTCAGACTTGATCTGACCAATAAATGAATATTGTATCGTAAGTGGAACAAGCCTTGCAGAAAAAGAAAATCATTTGGAAAAGAAATATCTGGCAGTGGCACTAATCTAAAGCTCCTGTTCTTTTTCTACATGTGTAATATATTCCCCCATAACCCTGTTTCTGTGGCTGAGCCGTTCTGCAGTGTTACCCCACAGCAGAGCTCCACGTGCTGCAGTGTTACCCCACATCCATCACCAATTTCAGCTTGTCAACAGTAGAAATTAAACAGTTTGAGGTTTCACTCAACTTCACTGAAAACACACACCAAAAGGCATCATAGTTGAAGATGGAGCGGTCTGATTTAGCTGCGAAGCAAACAGTGTTGCCTCATTGCCTTCTTTGAAAGATAAGACTATTCAAACAATAAGATTTTCACACAATCCAAATGCATTGAAGATCTGTTTTTATGCAAAGAAGCAAATCATACAGACGGATCTAATCTGTCCGGAGTGCTTTAGCTTTAACAAATATCATTTCTCAGAATGTGAGAAAACATTAGAGTGACGTGCTATCATTCCAGTGTTAGCCACATACATATTCTCCTCCATTTCATCCAGATAGTTTCCATTTTATCAGCTGCAGACTTGAAAAACAACATTCTTTTATTCCATATGTCAAAATGCCTCCCACTTCTTTAAATTAGGAGCCTTATTAAACTTCCAACAGCTATTTCCAAAGTCAACAGAGTTGAATCCAGAGTCATTCCATCGGAGTGTGTAGGAGGCGGCAGGCTGTTTTTACGGGGGATATTGAACAGTGATTTCTTTGGCACAGCCGGGGTGGAGGAAAGGCCGAGTAGGGTTACCTGGGGTTAAGGAATTGTGGGTATTTTTGCTAGTGTATGTGTGTTTTCTCAAGAGACAAACAGACCACTAAGCTAACATGAAAGGAAGTCAAATCAAAAGTACAAATATTGACAGAGGAAAAGAAACTGGATTGGTTTTTTTGTGTGTTTTCAGAGAGATATTTGTTTATTTGCGTGTGAAAATGTCTTACCTTATCCAGTTCAGTGGACAGCTTCTTGTTCTCTTCGGTCAGCAGGACTCTCTCCCTCTCGTACTTCTGCTTGTACTCGGTCTCAAACTCTTCCCTCTCGCTTTGGCTGAAGAAAACACACAATCATGGAGCGTTAAACTAGTGACTTTTGAATGATTTGTTGTCTTTCAGGCTTCTGAACTATATGAACTTATATACCAGGTGATCTTATACAGGGGTTTTAGAACAGCGCAGTATAAATACATTGAACATTCAAATATTCACCGGTCTCTAAGTCGATGTCTCATCTATCCTCCTACCTTTGTGCCTGTGTGGGCCTCTGACTCCACACATTTCCTCAACACTTAAATCAAAGGCTTGGTACTGAGAACAGGTCCACATTACTCAGCCTAAACACATTAATACAGTCAGAACCTGATCCAGCACTGTTTGAACAAATGAATGAGAAAGCAGTGAGAATAACATGTCCGAACAGCAGGCGGGAGAGTTAGACTACAGGGTAGAAAAACAAAGCTCTAAAGCCTTCTCCTCAAAAACATTATTTTATTCAAATGTGATTAAACCAGCGGTTCTTAACGTTGGATCTGGACCTCCCTAAGTACCTACCAGGGGGGTCTGAGCAGGAAAATACCTTTCCATTTCTCTGTATTTAATACCCGAGTTGGCACATTTTGACACATTTTTCTTTTTATCAACTCCAAGAGGCCCTATCATGCTTTATGTAAACAGAGTCGAGGCACTAAATACAAATATGAACCTGAAAAGGAGAATAATATGTCCTCTTTAATGGCTCGGGAAAAAAGAAAAACTTTAACAAATATTCTCTATAAGATCACCTTCCATGAGGAAAATAAAGTATTGTCTGAAAAGCTAGAAATCGTCTTCAGAATGCACACCTTCATGCATCTCTGTGTCATTTGGGTTGTTATGGAGGGATGACAAATATTTGGGGAGGTTACCTGAATGAAAGGTTATTATCTGGTTGGGAGCAACATTACTATAACATATTCCTGTAACACTGGTAAGATAAACCACTCACAGTCACTACACATTTATACCAGACTCTTGAGCTATTTTTAATATCACTGTAATTACCTCCCGCAGTCATCACTGGAAGACGCAATGAAGAAAAACAAAGTCATGTAATCACAGCCAGGATATAGGAGTCATAGAAACAAATCATTTGCATTGATCAGATGTAGGAAGACAGAGAAACTGATGAGTACCTCTCGCGGCGAGTCTTGTCCAGCTTGTCTTTGAGCATCAGGATCTCTTTCTGCAGAGCGAGGTGCTGGCTCTCGGCGTCCCGCAGCTCTTTGCGCAGACCTTTCAGCTCGCTGCCGTGCTGCCCCTCCCTGCGCGCCAGCTCCTCCTCGTATAGGAGCGTCTTCTTCTCCAGGTCTCCCCGCAGGCGCCCCACCTCCTGGGTCTGGTCCGCTGAGGCGGTGGGGGCAGAGGACCCCTGCTTCACCTGGGCGAGACAAGTGATGTTAGTGAGGATGAGAATGGAGTGTTGCAGGGATTAATAAGACTCCCTGGCTACTGTTGTATTTTTTTTAAATATTATTTTCCTAACCACTTTTTCTTAACATTTTGTGAAACTGTATGGAAACATTTAAAAGTAAAAGAAAAACTTAAAAAACTCCAGCGAACAAAAAAAAAACCTAAAACATTGATTCGATGAACATTTTTTAGCATAGCATTCATAGTTAGCATTTTGATTTAATATAGTGTCCAAAGTTTAAAACAGCACTTTGGCTAAATATGGCAAACATGGAAAATGCTTCACCAGGACCAATCATTTACACGATCCGCATTTGTCAGTCACAACGTCACTTGAACTATTGAGACTGCAAGGAATTGTGGGAGCACATTCTGTCCTTTCCTTTTATAAAGGATGGTCCAATGTATGCTAAGCTAAAGGAGACAATAGAGTAAGCATTCATGCTCATGTTCTATCATCTTAAGCTCTGATCACATTGAGTCTTAGCTTGTATGGCTGTGCAGTGACTGCTGATGGAGGGGTTCATGTTCATCTGTGTTTGTTTGCACACTCACCTTAAGCCCTTCAAGCTCCTCCTCCAGCTGTCGGCTGTACTGCTCATTACGCTCCCTCAGCTTCCTCTCTTTCTGAGCCTCTGCTGTCTGCTCCTCAGAGTGCGCCTCCATCTGATACACAAACACACCATTGATTGGCTGCAATGTATGTCATACACTGTTTCCATGTTACAGCCACTGAAACATCGTTTATTCATCTAAGACGTAAATAGAGTGGTGCAGTGATGACCTATTTTTGTAGGCCGACCTGGAAGTTAACATCGCAAGTGCTCCCTCCATAAAAATCTATGCGATTGTTCCACCGCCAAACAAATGCCAATGATATTTACACATCTGTTCAGCAGCATTATCTCCACATATACACATGTCTTTTATGATTGTTGTGGTGTAAATGCAATCGTTGGGTTATAAAGTTAGCATGGTCTCATGGCATCACCATCGCTAGGCTAAAGGCGGGTAATGTTAGGCATGATGACGTTTAGTTTAGTCTCACTTAAAAACGTGTTAATAACCGCTTTTTTATGACACATAGAAGCTATAAGCATTAGTCAGTCGGGTGTTAACTGAAGTGTTTTATAATGTACAACAAAACTTGAAAATCTCTTCAGCTTGTGTTAACAACAGACCTTATTTCAGGCATCAAACCAAAACATTGGATTTGTTTTGACTTTATCCAGAATGCTAAAATGCTAAATAAATCCCGGGTTTAAGGACTCATTCCTGCACCACTCTATTTTCATGGAAGTTTATGAATATTTCTTAAGGTGATAGGAGTACTATACACAGAAAACAATAGGTGATTGGAGACAGAACAAGGTGTGCTAGCAAACACAGGGCGACTACTCTACCTCCTTCTTGGCCCTCTCGGCCTTTCGCACCTCGAGGCGGAGTGCCTCCACCTTCTGACCCTGACTCTCCACCTCCTCCTCTTTGTCCCGCAGCTGGCGGGCCAGGCGCTGCTTCACCGACCTGCAGGAGAAGATCAGTCAAAGGTGAGGAAAATAACAGAATTAGCCATGAAATTAAATGGATCTTAAAGCACCTAAAATTACAATTTCTTCAAAAACCAGTAAGAAATGTTCTGGGGCAGAGTTCCTACCTGAGGTCTGTGAGTCTCTCATTGAGCTCTGAAAACTCCTGCATTGCCAGTTTTCTCTGGCTGTGAGCGTCCTTCAGCTCCTTCGACTGAGCCTTCAGCTTCTCGTTGGCATCCAAGATATCCTGGCAGAGAGAGGGAGAGTTCAGATAAACATTTAGAGTCTCATAGGGACTTGAAAGAAAATACAATGCTAAAACAAGCTTTATTTGAATGTTTGGACACCAAAATCTATTCTGAGCAACCGTTTTTTTCTATTGAACATTGTTATTTGGTTTGTGAAAACGGTACCAAAAAGATCTTGGTCTTCATGTTAATATTTTTATACAATACATAATAAATTGTCCCACGTTTTTTAGATTTATTTTACTTTCAATATCTGCTCTCATTTCACATTTAAATGTCTCTTAGTGTGTTTATGACCTGAATGCACTTTTATATACCAAAGCAAATTCCTTGTATGTAAACACCTACTTGGCAATAAAGAACATTTTGATTATGCTTTACCATGATACATATTGCAACAGACACATATGTGCAACTTCACACAATACAACACACTTTTATATGGAATTATTATCATGTCTTCTTAGGGCTCTAACAAAGACAAATACTCTACAAAGGTATTTTTGAAGCATTTTTTGTTCCTCAAGGCAACATACAAAGAGTTTTGTCATTATATCAGAGCCATTTCAGTTACAACAATTAAATAAATATATACAGAAAATACAAAATGTATGCGGAGACAGAATCCCCTACTGGTTGTACCTTGTGCATGTCGTCCCTCTCCTGTGAGACGCTCTTCATCTGTTTCTCCAGAGTCCTGGTGTGTTTAGAGGAGTCCTCCAGGTCTCTGCGGGCCAGCGACACGTCCTCCAGCTGCTTCTCAATCTGACCCGAGTCTGACAAACACATAAACAAAGGTATATCATTAACCCTCCTGTGGTCTCCGGGTCAAATCTGACCGATTTACTACTTTCATCAATCATAACTTTTTTGTTTTACATTCGATAGCATTAAGGCTTTATGATATCCTTCACAGTAGACATTTGAACATATACAATTGCTGATCACCACTGTCATTGCATTTTGGATGATTTAGTCAACTTTGTAACACCATGGTGTTCCCGGTCAAGACCGCCATAAAGAAAAGGAATTAGTAACCATCCGGATCAGATCACACACACACACACACTCTAGATGTGTCCCCCCCTTATGTGCCCAATCCCCCCATGTGAATCACACCTGCCACTCACACAAACACACACAGAACAATTTGACACATTTCCCGCTCTTATGTGCCCATCCCCCGACATGGATCACACCTGGCACACACAATACATGTTCAGTGTCTGTTCTTTGTATATTTACTGCTGTGTTTCATGTATACCAGTAGTCTGATACAATATGTACAGTTTGAAAGGGTGTTAAATGAAATGTGGTGATGATTCATGTTTTGTGTGTGAATGTAATAGCAGTTAAAACAGGACCGGTCAAATTTGACCGCGAACACCAAAGTAAGGGGGGGGGGGGGGGGGGGGGGAACGAAGACAATAGGAGGGTTAAATCAAATATGTAACTTAAACGTTTTTGTTGCTGTGGCTGCCTTGTTTCTTTATCAAGGTGCATAGTTTTCCCATTCTTAAATAGTAATTTGAACGTTGAGTCATTAGCACATACATTTCCCATATGACTTGATGGCGTATGTAAGAAAATCCTCACCAGCGATCTGCTTCTTGAGGATGTCGATCTCGCTCTTCAGACTCCTGATCTCCCCCTCCCTGTTGGGGCCAACAGGGCCCTCGCCTGATGGATGCTGCAGGGCCTGCACCGTCTGAGTCGACTCTGCAACCGGTCCAGCAAAAAGAGGCTTTAGTAAAGTGCTTAGTCATGCTTTCTAAAGACCACATTTGGCTTTAACTGATCATTATGAAGAACAAGTTGATTGCACAGTGTTACGGGCGTAGAATAACGACACCATCAGCATTTAGACTGGGGCCCTATAGGTTCCTCCAACTAAAATCTCCCGGGATTTTGAGAGAGAAACGCCCTCTGAAGGGAACTTTCGGGGTGTTAGCCTATGCAGACTATTTACATGCATAACAACCTATACAACACAATCGAGGGAAGGGAAACCCCAAAAAGCTTAATAAGGACTCTTTAAGATTTGTTATGGGCCAGTTTAGCCTTAATCAGAAAGTCACAGTGTTGAAAGAGGGAGATCACACGAGTAAAGGGACTGCAGGCAAAGCATACACTGAGCCCCAGTACAAGGGCTGCCATATCTTGCTTTGCAGTGATGTCTGAATAAGTCTATTTTGCCACAGAAGTCAGCTTTACCTTGCAGTTTGCGGCTCAGCTCTAACTTCTCCTGCTCCAGGCGGCGGATCCTCCTCTCGTAGGCCTCTGTGGCCAGGCTGTCCTCCAGGCCTCGCTGGACAACCAGGTCCAGCTGGTCCTCTCCCGGCTTACCCAGATCCCCCACCAGCTGCCGCAGGGAGGAACGGTCTGATAGGGAACTGCAGAGGTGGAGGAGGAACACAGATCGTGAGGAGAAAGGTGTAGGAGGCAATGACATCAGCCATTATCAGCCGAGTGTAGAGTGAGGAAAGGAGATTAAAACAAGGCCATTTATAGAGTTGAAAAATAGACATAATGGTGTTAACAGAATAAGACAATGCAATATGAACGTGATTATTAAAAGGGAGAGAAAGAGGCCAGGGTGAAACAGCAGGAGAGGGGAAACAGGAAAGAGACGTGGACGACAGAGATAGAGATGAGTTGAAAGATGAGAGGATGTTGAGTCATGGAAGAAGGGGGAGAGGGAGGGGGGAGAAGGAATGACAGCGACAAAAAGGAAGATGGGGAGTGAGAGAAAAAGAGGGAGAGCGAGGGAAAGAAAGGAAGAGTGCAAGGGGACATTATCACTGAGCCTTGAACAGATAAGAAGAAAGCGGTGGGTTTGTTGCTTTCTCACGGGTAGCCTTCAGGGTGAGGATCTACAGCGAGTCCTGAACATCACCTTATTAGGGAGGGAAGCTACTCCAACACTCCTACGCCGCTATGCTATGCAATGAGAAGGCTTGCTGGGTAATCTGTCCATTTATAAGGACTAATTACAAATGATGCTAGATTGTGTAGATCACACTGTTTTCATCCTTATTTGGTCAAAATGTATATAAATGCATGCAAAATACACTTATCGCAATTCTAAACAATGAAAAGTAAAGCAAGAGAGTCCAAAAAAAGACAAATTCTAAATAAAGGCAGCGGCTTAAAATAATGTTTCCATTGTTATCACTTACCATTTACTGGTGTAGGTGAAGCCCACAAATGGCAGGTGGTGGCCGGAGAAGGCAGTGTGAGAGGGCGGAGGCATGGTCTCCTGAAAAAGATTTAGAAACATGAGAAAAAGAGTTAGATATTGACATGTTATAAAGGCGAGGAGAGAGGAAAAGATGAACATATTCCCCTACCGAGTTCTTTAGGCAGTCATCATCCACATCAAAGTTGGAGGTATCTGTAGGACTGCTGACTTCTGGGATGTAGGGAGCCTCACATGTGAGAATGTTCTCCCAGATAATGCCTGCACACAAGAGAGGTCACAGGATACTTTTAAGCATAAAACAGTGGCACAAATCTATAAATCTAGTTATCTTGATCATGTTTTTGATTAAAAAACCTGTTTCATTTATTTGCACAAAATATAGGAAATAACAAACATCATGTATTAGGGGGTTCAAGGGTGTTGTGCTAATGAGATTACAAGATATTATAAAAATCTATTAAATGATCGAACCCCCAAATCAGGATGATACACACACTTGTAGATCAAAACACCTCTATATCCTTATATTGGAAAAATAATTTAAATCCCTAAATACCTTGCGACATAAGTAACGCTAGAACGTACCAACAAAGAAGGGGTGGTGCTGGAAGTCTTCGATGCCGTTCTGGCCCAATCGGTGCTCTCGGCTGCAAATGAGCCGGCGAATCAGATCCTTCGCATCCTCTGACACGTCTGTGATCTGCTGCGGGAACTGGAAGCGCTCCTGTGGAAGATGTCATGGTACTCATTAGAGGCATGGTCACTGGCACAATTGATCATTCCACCTCGTTTCTCCTTTATGCTTATATATCCTATCTTTAAAACTATTTTGCACTGTTTCTTAATAATGTATTGCCATGTGATTGACACAAAGAGAGTAACAGCCTAGAATCCACTACAAACTCTATAAGCTCACCTTGTGGTTCATGATCTTCCCGTAGGTTTCCACCAGGGACTCTGCATAGAAGGGAGTCTCGCCGTACAGCATTTCATACATGCAGACGCCCAGGGACCACCAGTCGCACTCAGGCCCGTACTTGCCCTTCCCATCCTCCATAGCCTGGAGGATTTCTGGGGAGATGTAGTCTGGAGTCCCCACCGCCACGGAGGACTGGACCTAGCAGAGGGATAAAAGAAAAGTCAAGAATTGATGCAAAAAATCTCTGAAATCTCACATGTAAAGAAGGGAAACATTTTAGTATTCAAGTCCAGCATGCATGCTAATGAAAGTCATTATGATGATGAGTAATAGTCTGCAGTTTTGGAAGCATACAAGATGAATACCAGAGTTCTAGCTAAAGGAAACAGGACTTTTTTTTTTGGCTACACTTTTTTTTGGAGCTCATTTTTTTAACTTCTAAAGCAATTTTGAGAATTCACATGATGCTGAATCCTGAATCAAAACCAAAGCAGAGTTGAATGCTATATGTTGTCTGGATGAATACACAGTGAGAGAGAGAAGCAGATGTTGGCATCTGTCTCTTTATTCTTCAGGAAGTTGCTTTAATACAGAAGAAACCCCCAAGACATGATTCAAAGCTCATAAAGAAATGTTCCAAAGAAATGTCAAACAAGGTCCAACAAGCCCTTCAATTATTTGTTCAAATGGTCATATAACCTCATCACTATATTATCATTGAAAGAAGACACTGGGGAACATCTTTGATCATCTATTTCATCCTGTCATTTCTCCGTTATGTAACTTCTTTTCTTTCTTTTTGCTCCGAGGATTGTCTGAATCACAAAGTGAAGGCCCAGCCGAGCAGCAGAACCACACACCCCTCCTGGGAGACCCCCAGGGGTTGACTAGGAGGTCAGTAAAAGCTCTGGTATGTTTGCTTTGGACCGGAGGAGGCTTCAGCAGTAGTGTGGTAAAAAAAAAAAAAAAAAAACCTACCGTCCCGTCCTCCATGAGTTTGAGGCAGGAGCCGAAGTCTGCCAGGCGGATGTGGCCGTTCATATCCAGCAGGATGTTGTCGGGCTTTATGTCCCTGAAAGAAGAAAATACTAAATAAATAACCATAATTCCTCAAAGTAGAATGAAGAAAACAATATTTTTCAAAAGACAAATATACTTGAATGACATTCAGAACGCCCACAAGCCAGATCTCACATCACACCATCGATAATAATCAAAATTAACTTTTTAACCTGGGAAAATGTTACTAATAATTCAGATATTTATCATTCAATTAAGTGTAATTTCCCCATCGCCCATTAATCAGCAGCCTGACAACTTTAAATTGACCATAGGAAAGAATAAACACTGGAATAAGTGTGGGAATTAGCCTTGCAGCAAGTGTGTTTGTGCAGCTTTCCAAAACACACAAACATGCACTGTTGGAGGAAATATGCAAGGCACAAACACACTCCCACTTGCAGAAAAAAGACCCTGTGTCCTAAACAGACACACTCCCCTGTTCACTACTCCTTCAATATTTGTGTTTGTGAACAGAGACAGACTGGGGGGGGGTTCGGGGGGGGGGGGGGGTAACTGACAACACATTCTTTCACAGATGTGTAAACGGTGGCTGGCCACTGTAGATTCTTCTTCTCAGCCTGCATCTGCTCAGCATTACTTCTGCTGATGGTATGTTTATAATATAGATACTGACTCTGGCCTGATTTCAGCTGCTGGGATTCATTGCTGCAACAGCTGGATCGTCTCAAAACTCATCAGCTGCTTTCACTTCTTAACCAGCACCTCAACAAATGATAAGGCAATCACGATTGAAAATGGGGCTGTTGAAGACACATTTCATTAGCTGAAGTGCAAGTGAGCTTTTCAATTCCTGGAAACACGAGTTTAGTTGGGTGCTGTTAGAGGATGTGGGCCAAACTCAGATTTTGCGCGGATTGTCAAAAGTTTGGGATAGAAGGCTTTGTTTTTGCGGCCATGTTTGTGGCTTTGCATCTATGAATCACTGTGACGTTGTTCCGATTCATATCATCTAAAAAATTAAGAAAACAATTGCCTTTACTCTTGTTTTGAATCATAACCTAGTATATATAGCGATTTGTGTAGGGGCAAGAAGACGTTCGTTTCTAACACACGCCCAGCCAGGAGGAAAAACTATTTCAACATTGAACCCTGAACAATCATATCAAACGGATACAAGCAGGAAATGCTCACAATTGAGAAGTCATTTTCTGTCTAGTGTTGTTGGCTAGACGTTGTCAAACCATCTGTTTCAAGTTGGCTTTGTAATAGTATGCAACTTCTCCTGTTGGAAAGGCTCACATCAGGACGGTTTTTTCTGTCTGCAGCCATGTCATACATTTTATTGGGCAGGAGGGCCATGCTAAAATTATATTTAATAGTTTTGCAACTTTGGGATCCAAGTGATCCTTAAATTGTACACATGATACACATGATACACTTTTCATTGTAGTTTTACCATGGACGGAAATGATATATTAGTGTTGTTTGTGACTTTTTTTGTTTGTATGGCAAGCTGTTGTCTTGGTCCATTTATGTTCAGTTTCTGATAGGTGGAAGTTGCCAGAACTCATGTGTCATGACATCAAACTTCTGACGCCTACACTGCTGGAAATTTCCAACAAGAAGGAGTCAAAGTAGAGAAAAAGGAAAAACACATTTTTATTTGTATACATGACTGCTTCAATGTAACTGTGCAAACATTCTACAGTGTGTTCAAACGTAGAGAAAGTAAACCAGCTGTGTTGGTTCAAAAAACCTTTGTACGCCTACTATTTTCCATACAGAAAATTGGTCAGAATCAATAGGAAAATCAATAAAGAACCGGAACCCATAAGCACAATGGATAATGTCGTTGGTATCACATAAATCGTATCAATTTCCAACACCAGTGGTAGTTTGCATCATCTTCAACGTTATGAAAATTGTGTATACTTTCTGTAAACTAACAAAACCATGGTAACTTCCAACTACTTGGTGCAAACTATTAGAAATGTTTGTCAAGTGTTCACTGACAGGTGGTTTGTGTTGGGCTGTTGGTGCTATTGTTTTTCATGGCAGTACTGTTGGTGTGTGACTTGGAGAGGGTCTGAGTCCGACCCTTGTCAATTAACTACGGGGGTCCCTCAGGGCTCTGTTCTTGGTCCCCTCCTCTTCTCCCTGTACACAAACTCGCTCGGATCAGTCATTAGCCCGCATGGTTTTTCTTACCACTGCTACGCTGATGACACCGAATTAATTCTGTCCTTTCCCCGCTCAGAGACCCAGGTCGTCGCACGCATCTCTGCTTGTCTAGCTGACATCTCTCAGTGGATGTCTGCTCATCACCTCAAACTCAACCTGACAAGACTGAGCTGCTCTTCCTTCCGGGAAAAGATTGTCCCACTCTTGACCTAACAATCAACATCGGCACCTCAGTTGTTTCCCCGACTCAGACTGCAAGGAATCTGGGTGTGACCCTAGATAACAACCTGTCCTTCACTGCAAACATCGCTGCTACAACCCGTTGCTGCAGATACACGCTTTACAACATCAGGAAGATACGTCCCCAGCTGACACAGAAAGCGACTCAGGTTCTGGTCCAGGCTCTCGTCATCTCACGCCTAGACTACTGCAACTCCCTCCTGGCTGGTCTACCTGCATGTGCCATCCGACCTCTGCAGCTCATCCAGAATGCAGCGGCTCGTCTGGTCTTCAACCTTCCTACATTTTCCCACACTACTCCGCTCCTACGCTCCCTCCACTGGCTTCCGGTAACTGCTAGAATCCACTTCAAGACACTGGTACTTGCGTACCATGCTGCGAATGGATCTGGCCCTTCGTACATCCAGGACATGGTTAAACCGTACACCGCAGCGCGTGCACTACGCTCTGCATCAGCCAAACGACTCGCTGCGCCCTCGCTGCGAGGGGGACCCAAGTTCCCAACGGCGAAAACACGTGGGTTTGCTGTCCTGGCTCCAGCATGGTGGAATGAGCTCCCCATTGACATCAGGACGGCAGATAGCTTGCACATCTTCCGGCGCAAACTGAAAACTCATCTCTTTCGACTCCACTTCGAGCGTTAGAACTATTAACGAAGCACTTTTATACTAATAAAGGACTGGCTTATCTATAGCCAGTTGAGTAGCACTTGAAATGTTTTTGCTCTATGAAGCCTGATGTACTTATATGATTCTGTTTTCTTCAAGTTGTATTTTGTTGGACGAACGCACTTATTGTAAGTCGCTTTGGATAAAAGCGTCAGCTAAATGCAATGTAATGTAATGTAATGTAATGTGTGTTAATGTGTATATGTAGGCTAGATCTAGTGCCAGGCCTGGTTTAGTCAACTCTTTGTGGCCATGGTAAGCAGTTTTAAGGTTGTCATTCTGAGTAATTCCAGGAACAAAAAGTCATTTGTTGGTTTCATCTGTGACCTTCTGGTGTCAATGTAATCATTCTTGTATTATGTGTGTTTGAAATCCACGTCATCTTAATCGTAATATCATACTAAGTGACCCCAATGGTTGCAGGGCATGACTGGTTTGAAACAGAGATGTCACTGTCTCCCAGCATCATGGCTAAATATAGCCTCTGTGCTGGCCGGACCAATCCCCTGAGGGGGAGACCCTGTCCAGCCTAGTGTCTGAGGCCCTCTTATCAACACAGTGACCCACAATGCAGCTCAATACACACGGTATGAGGGCCACATAAAAACTCTTCTACAGTAGTGTCAAAGGCACACACACAGTACACACTCACACACTCGGAGTCCAGGGTTACTGAACTGAGCTGCTGCTATTTGTGTGCATTAATGTGAGCATTGTTCTGCTTTAAATAAAAATAAAAACTGATGACCAATACATGCATACACCCCCACAAAGCCTACCCCCACACCACTAGCACTCTCATAATGACTGATAAGAAGTGGATGAGGAGATACAACTGAAAGAAGCAGAATACAATACAAAGGCAACCCTCTGCAACCATTTGTTGACAGTCATTTGGAGTACAGATTATTTGTTCCATTTTTGGTAGTGACAATGGCTCCAACTTGCATCATTCAACCACTACAGTGTGAGCATTTTCTTAACATTTGGCTTCAACAGACCTAAATCCAGCATTATCTCTAAATAAAAGTTGCATCAAGGTCGGAATAATTCCAGTGTGTTCTAAAACAACCAATACGGTAACGTTCTCTGGCAAAACCATCGATTCTTGCCAGATAACAAGGCTTTAGGAAGTAGAAACTGATCAGTAAAAGCTCAAGAGATTCCCACATTCCACTTTGAATTATTCTGTAATTCTTGTTTTCAAATTGTACACATTGAGACTTTGGGAGATGTTATTTTCTTTAAAAAAAAAAAAAAGAGTGGGCAGACATAAACTAGCTTTGAAGACGTCTTTGATGTCTCCGTCTTCCGCGAGACATCTCTTCAAAGCCAGATGTGAAGCCCCTGTCATTTTCCAGAAGTGTTAATAGTCGCATCGCATGGGGATACAACAGGGGGAGGGCCAGTTATCTCTCTGCCTTAGAGACGCCACTAAATCACAAACCTCTCAAACCATGGATAAAAGTAATATGCGCACATATGTGACTTGTATAGACACATAAAAGTGGGGCTCCAAATGTATATATATATATATATATATATAAATTGACACTTACTTTTCCATATCCCTGCTTGCATCCTGGGTTACTTAAAAGTCTTTTTAAAGAGCTCACAGATGAGTTCCAGATTGGACATCACTTTCCAAAGCGGATACTGTATATAGGATTTGGATGGGAACCACATACTGTACCCAAGTGCATCGAACATTCACATAACCTACTGTATCTGGAGTGATGTGAACTTGGCAGGCATGAACTCGCAGAAACAACTGACGCCATGTATACTCAAGGTCATACTGTCGAAGTACATCTTAAACTTCGACATAGTAAAACGATTTATCTGATCTAAGAAAATGTGAGTTGGACTTTACACTGCTCCATTACATCTGACATTTTACCTTGACTTTAACAACCCCAAACTAATAGTGGCGCTAATGGAAGGCAAGAAGACACAAATT